TATATAACCCCTTGGGCCTCATTTGAACACTAAACAAGTTTTCCCTTTAGACCACCAGAAGCTAGCTAGGTAGACTCATTTCTAGACTGATGTACTTCCTGTTTAATGCCATTGCGAGTGGCTAGCTCAATAGTTATGATATTTCACTAGGCTCATACAAGTAGGAGCTTATGATGAATTAGAAGTTCGAATTTGAACGTTGTGATTGATGTGTTTGCTTTGACTTCATATTTTCAAAAGGTTCTTACAATTCTAATTGCTTTTGCTGTAATCTAAGCATATTATTTACTTAGTAATGTTCATATTGATGATCTTAATATACTCATATTTTGATAATGGCGAATTTATTGATGAAAGCAGAACGAGAAGAAATACAAGGGAAAGGAGAAACAGAGGTTCAAGAGAACTGAACCAGTCTTCCCACAGAGTACAGACTAAAAAGAGAAGGAATAAGAAATAAACAACAAAGCTAGACGGACTAAAAACCGTCCCTGGTGAAAAAGAAGACAAATACAGCTAGACGGAATGAACCAACCCTGCTGCAATTCACATACCAAACAACCAAAACACAATGAGGATTAAGATAGAAAGTCAGCAAGCCAAATAGCAACTTGATCCTTGCCAATCTTATTGTGAGAAGTAAGCTAGTAAACAACCATTTTGACTGATTTCCGAGCAATGATCATGGTCGATGAATGAGTGTCTTTAAATACCCGCTGATTCCTCTGCAACCAGACTGACCAGTAGATAGCATGAAGAATGCTTACATTGAACCACTCATCAATGTTGTTGGGGGACAAGGAGAGTCTATTGCTAATGACAGAAGGTACATCTCCTTGCAAATTACCAATGAAGCTCTTCTTTCTCTTGATATCACTCCAAACATCTTGAATGAATTGGCACTTGGTGAATAGATGTTCTTCATTTTCCTCTTCATGGTAGCAAAGAGTGTAGCGGTTTGCTAGATGCAATCCTCTTCTTTTTTGAACGTCCATCGTGTAGATCTTCTTAAGCCAAAGGGTCCACGTGAAGAAGCAAATTTTTCTAGGGATGAAGGGCTTCCAAATGGTTGATGCCTCATAATTCTGAAAGCCGGGAAAATTCTCCACAATAAGCTGATTGTAGATTGAGCTAATAGAGAAACCGCCTTCTGGTTTTGGTATCCAAGTAACCCTGCAAGGACTGTTAGCGGCAAGATGCAAGTTTCCAGAATTTAAAAAGTTCAAAAGCCTTTCTCTTTCTCTCTCCGCTCCCCCTCTCAAGCTAACACTCAAATTAAGGATCCAATTTATCTCATTACCAGTGGAGGAGGCTACGTTAGTGATCCGAGCAGCAGGCTCGATAGCAGCAGCAACAACTCTTGGGTAGTCAACAGCGAGAATCGAGTTCGACGTCCAGTTGTCATACCAGAAGGGAACATGCCCACTGACTCACTCCTACTGTCACTCTAGAAAATGGCCAAGTGTAACCACTTCCTAAAGCGTAGTATAACGGGTTTGGGTTTTAATGTCAACCCGGGTCCTAGATGTGATGACTACTCGGTGAATTCTCGTTATCTAGCAGTGAACTTTTAGTGCAGATTCAAACAAACAAAAACACAAAGCAAGTTTAACGGTTGTTCAAGTCAAGAGAGGTCACCCGGATATGGTTCCCCCTAGACTGCAGTTAAGTCGGATTGCAATTTTCCAAGTTCAGTTTTTATGAAAGTTATACTGCGGAAGGTTCTTAAATAGCCTGAAGTCTCGACTAAAGGTCTCCAGACCCTCTCAATCTGAGTCTCTAGCGGGCGACTAACCTCCACCGGAGTAAACAGATTGAGGCCCTAACGAACCAAACCTCCACTACCGAATGGAATTCGGTACAGAATAGCGAATTGGCTCCTCGACTAAAGTCACCAATTCGCCACCTTCGATTAAGGATACTCTATCAACCTAGGCAGATATTCTCATTCTAGGTCAAAGCAGAAACAACAGGAATTTGATCAGGATTCAAGTCATTCAATCATTCAAACCTCAATCGAATATAATCAATTCACAAACTCTGTACTTGGGTTCATACAATCATACCTAGCATACAAATCTAGGGTTCCCCATATCTAGATGAATGGGGGAACTACTCCATAGAGAAAGAAGCAAAAGCAGATTCAGACGCGGAAATCATACTGTGAAGACGGATTTCTGCTCCTGGACGTTTAATCGGCACTTCTCCAAGCTCAAGCCGGGCTCCAATGGCGATGAAGATCAAGCTATGGCACTTGGGAACTCTGGTTCGTCGCTGTCTCTCTCCAGGAATCGATTTTTCTCTCAAAAACTCGGAACCCTTCAATGTTGGCCTTCTTCTTCCTTTTATCAGCTGCCAGATCGCGATACCCGGTCGGGTATTTCGGATTTCGACCGGGTATATTCAAAACGCGCGTTTCATGCCAGGGGAAAATCCCCGGTCTCTTCCAATAATCCCCGACCGGGGATTTCTGCCCTTTTGCCCGGGCCCCCCTCTGTTTCTCACGGGGCGCCCAAAGGAATAATACCCGACCATGGCCAGAAAATACCCGGTCGGGTATTTCTGCCTTTGGCTGGGTATTTTGGTTCTCCATCCTCCTTCTTCCCAACTTCGCTCCTTTCGACCCAGAACTCGTTTCTCCGCCTCGATTCCAACGCCGGGTCCTGAAATATGACATAAACACACAACCTAGTGTGAAATCGGCTTAAAACACGAGATTCCACATCACAAACGGCTTCAGAATAGGGGTGAAACTATGTGCAATTATCGGTCTATCACCCACCACCTCCTAGTTCAATATGAGTAAATTTCCAGAAAAGAGGGTATTCCTTTGCAATATTAGCTCAAACAGAACTCGAATAACCAGAGCTAATCTTAGCTGTTTGCCAATGGGGTAGGTTGTTCGGATACTTTATGTTGATCAATTCTCTCGACCAACTATTCTTCTCAACATCAAACTTCCAAAGCCACTTAAAAGAAGAGAAGAATTGAAACAAGCAAGATCACAAATGCCTAAGCCCCCTTTAGATTTAGGGGTCTTGCATAGGTCTCATTTCACGAGAGGAGCTTTTCGGCAATTACTAGCAAATAAAATCCCTCTGAATAGCTTACATGTCCTCTATAAATAATGATATGAACATATATATATATATATGGTGGCGTATTCGGCGCACCCACTTTTTTGGGTACACTCAGCGCACCCGCCTCATAATCATCATTCTGAGCATGCGATTCATGTCAAAATGGTATCAATTGTTGCTTATGATATTATGAACAATAAGCCCATGAATTTGAAAAAAAAAATCATTTAAGATTTACTTTAATTTGAAGGATTTAGTATTTAGGGGTTTAGGGTTAGGGTTTAGGTTTACAGTTTTAGATTTTGCATTGGCATTCAAAATTGAAGGTTAAGGGGTTAGGGTAATAGATTGATTTGTTATGATTCTATGTCATATCATCATGTTAGATTGAGAGTACTAATTAAAGTTCAAAATTTGATGTATTATGGACACTTTTAGAAATGGGTACACTGAGTGCACCCATAAAAGTGAGTGCACCGAAGTAGCCACCATATATATATATATATATATATATATATATATATATATATATATATGTGGGTCATACTGGTGTACGTCAGGCGTATAGTATACGCCAGATGCCTGACACTGTTGATCTAATCTGACGGTCATTAGTAATAATGATTTAATTAATTATTAATTAACAAATATAATTACTAACAACACCCATTACTATTTTATACGCGCATTATAGCTCCCAAACTTTTTTTTAGAACTTTGTGTACTTTTGGTACCCTACTTTCTTCGAACTTCAGTTCCAACACTCAAATATTATACATTGTTTAGAATTTTGTTTCAATCGTTCTCGAAGCTGATCGACGATGATAAAAAAATCAAACTAACCATGCGACTTCTTCTTTTTCCTTTCCCTTTCTTCCTCTCGTCTCATTTTTCCCAGAATCACAAATCAAAAATCCAATTGCGCAACTATGAATTCCATCAATATCACTGTTAACCTTGATTGAGAAAGTTAAACAGCATCTAGCATGCCAATCCCATTTGCCAATACTTAACCAGAAAGAGCAAGAAGAATAACACATACTCCAGAACCACACAACACAACAGGAACAAGATAAACGAAACATCCAATTGGGTGGTAAGCCTCAATCTTTTCTCTTTCTTTCTCCCAATTCGTAGAGGTAGAGATAGATAGATTTAAACTTTTTCTCACATAGCCATGGAAGGAGAAGGTTCGCTGGAGTTTCAGGAGTGGGAGGTTCATTCCGACGTCTGAGGCTGTTGTGGTTAGGTCCCCTGTATTGGAGGAGAATCGGAGGAGTTTCGAGGAAATCGAGGTTGATTCCGCTGGCTGATCAGGTTGGATTACGTCTCTATTGGAAAAGATAGGATGTTAGATTTACACTTTTTCTCACATAGCCATGGAAGGAGAAGGTTCGCTGGAGTTTCAGGAGTGGGAGGTTCATTCCGACGCCGAGGCTGTTGTGGTTAGGTCCCCTGTATTGGAGGAGAATCGGAGGAGTTTCAAGGAGATCGAGGTGGATACCGCTGGCTTATCAGGTTGGATTACTTCTGTATTAGAAAAGATAGGATGTTTGATAAGTCTGTCGTTGCTTGAGCTGGTGAGTTAGAGAGCTCTGTTGAGTCTGATAATCCGAGTTTGATCGATCCTGCTATTGACAATCAGTTCAGAGGCAAAAAATTAAGTTGGATTCTGCTCTGATCCTGCTAGTGATCGGTCGGATGACTAAAAGTTCTTGACTGTGATGTTAGAAATGACAGGATCCGCTCAGTATCATCATGCTTCTCATACTGCTGAAAGTCTATTAACAGCCACTCAGTTGTTTCATTCATTTTACCTTGGTGCAGCCGGTGCAAGGGGCATCACATTGGACCCAAATAAGGTTGCTACCAGTGTTGATATCTAGCTCGAAGGCCTTTGGTGGATTGCCTATGTTTATCGAGATCATGGTGAGGAAGGAGAAGAAGTTGTTCATTGCTTTCACTTGGCTGGTGGTGGTGCTTATTGTGGCCGCCATTGGTGTTAATGCTGTGCCTGCCACTCGCCAACAGAGCTTCGAGCATCTGGTTCAACCCCAAGCAGGTATAAAATAAGCTCACAACTTGGTTTCATTGTCTCTTTGTAGTTAGAGGACCATATTCATATACATAGCATGACCACCATTTGTGTATAAAATAAGCTCACAACTTGGTTTCATTGTCTCTTTGTTGAAGGTTGCCGCTGCTGCAATTTTGTTGGGAGGGTCCCCAATCTCAGATGTGGGGGAGTTTGCTGCGTGGATGGCTGTTGCTAAATTATGGTGGTGATGAGTGAATTATGAATATCATGATATGATGCCTGCAGGTGGTGGCTTTGTGATAAACCGAATAAATAAAATTTTATGGATTTTCCCTCGAAATGGTATCTCGACTGACTGACTAATGTATCAATATACAAGATCACGTCGTGATTTCAGTTACTTTATGGAATGGAGTTTGAGCAGCTGGTGAGCGATCTTTTGAGCTGCGAGGCGAAGTGTGAATCAGGTTTAGAGGAGAATGTGAAGAGTCGCCAACTGGGTTTTGAAGAAATTGAGCAGAAGGTAGGGAATGAGAAAGATATGACCAAGTTCTGGTCTGGTTCTGTTGGTGATGGTTTGGTTTTGGGTTCTGGAGGTTATGAGTGACGAAGCCACTCGTGGTGGGAATGCTCCGTGGAGGAGAACTCGCGTCTTGTTGAAACTGGGGACGGGAAATCGAATGGTGGTGATGAGGGGAAGAAGCAGCGAGTGGTCTCGTGAAAAGTTCCCTTTGAGTTGTTGAAGTTCTGTGTTTTCAAAGTTAGCCCGTGTAGACTTTCGCAATGGCTGCAGCTGTAATGGGATTTGTCATCTTTGGTCGGAAGTTATATAAGATGAAGCGTAAGGCGGGTTGCAAATTTAACATCTCACGATCTTAAATAGACAACGTACATAACATTATGGAGAATTCAGTATAGCATTAGATCGTAGAAAGGCAAAATCCACCATTGTGCATGGAACAACTAAGTTTGTTTTTAAGGTGCTAATAAGGGGCCTGGTGTGAAGTTGGAGGTGAAGTGATATCTAAAATACTTGGAATTTTTAAAGGCGAACTGTTAATTTCGATTTCAGTCCATGTGTGGGCAAAGTAAATGAACACAACAAACCTAAGGTGATGTCTGGGCTGAAGTTCAATTCATGAGAAAAACTTATCCATCCCGTGGAAAAAGTTAAATATAAAATAACACAAATTCAACCTCTAATTGTAAGGTATGAAAAGCATTCAACATGGACCAATCCTTGTCGTTGAACATGGCCACAACATCCTTTTCTGTCACATCTCCCGGTTAAGCTGGTGACTTCCTTTCTTGCAGCGCTTAGGTTCTTGATCACATTCTAGGCCCCCCTCTGGCTGCTTGTTTCTCTAACTGTGAAATCTTGATAGGTCCTACGACGGGAAATATTAGGAGGAATGATAGACAACACAACATGAATATAGAAGATTCAAAGATGAGAACCTAGAAACCTTCATTGCAGCTACGAAACCTGTGTTTATGGTCCTTTTTTTTTTGCGCACTCCATACACGCATTACTAATCCTAATAGAAAACACATAATTAGAACTAATGAAATAGAAACTCCAAGTAATAAGATAGGAGAACTTAACCACATAGTTGTCAAAAGTCATAAACCGACACATGTTTACAGAAATGGAGCAGCAGCTTGCACTCTATATATGTGTACTAACACTGAGAATTACAACTACATACTGTTCAAATAATCGACCATAAAGGACTTCTAAGGTTCTCACACACTAAAGATCCCAAATGTGAACGAACACTGGCCAGAAACATCAATCACAGTATAAGCTATTAAATTCAAGATGGTATGCAAGAAATTGATCAGGTCGATCAACCATTCTGCATAAAACTTGCTCAACTCCCATATATATATATTCACAGAACCAAAATTGCATAATTGAAACTGGCTCTCCCTGAGGCTAAAAAACAGGAAAAATATATTAGATTCTGGTAGCTCAGTCTGTTACAGACCAACCGAACCATGGATAGGTAGAATATTTTGAGAGACGAAACTCACCTAGATAGGCCATCCTCGAGCATCGGCCCCTCCTCCGACGATTTGTTGTTGGACACACGGTTTCTGTTGGAAGGAGGAGTTTTGCTACTTGCATTAGTAGCATCTCTATTATGGTGTTGCATATGGCTACCTGACAAATTCGCCATGGACGACCGTGAACAAAAGCAACAAACTCATAATCTCAATATGGACCTAACAATATAGTTAACAAAAATGCGAAGAAAGGGAAGTAAAAGTAAAACATAATGCTCGTCACATTGAGCTAGGTGAATGGAGAGAAGAGCAAAGGGAAGGAAAACCGCACTATCGATAGCAGCCTTCTCATCATCGTAACCTTCCACACTGGAGCTGCTGGAGTTGTACCTCAAACAGATAAATTAAATCATTAAATCATAAGAACAATTTGAGGTTCAATGTTACTCAAATGCAACAATTCCTAATTATCCCCTATTCCCCGCCTGTGGAAGAAAATAACTATACAAAACCATACTTGTGCAACTGTTAGACGTACACCAAACCTTGAGGAATTGAAAACAGAGATCTAGCACAATTCTCGCCTCCAAGCAACATATAGATTTACAGCTTTACATCCTACCCATTCGCAGTGACCAGTCCATATCACTCAGTATTAGTTCTAAGTATTTATAAATTTACAGCTTAATATAGATTTACAGCTTTACATCCTAATCATGAATGCAAGAACCAGCTAACAAAAAGAGGCAACAACATTGAACCAATTAATCATTTCGATCCAAGAGCTGACACGCTTACAAAGACTCAAAGGGTGCTACAACGGGAAAATTGAAGCTATAATTTCCCTCGTTATCAGGCAGTGAATATGACCATTTCCCTGATAATTGCAACATATGCAAAAGATGGTACAATTAATTGCAACAAGAATGTGATTTGATGACAAAAAATGGCATGCAAGTAAAGGCAACTGGTAAAACATTTCACATTATTGGGTCCTTGGTTATGGCATCAACATTTCACAATTAACAAAGGCATCATATACAATTTACGAATTCATGAGAAGCAAATCAACACTAACATTGCAACTTAACCACAGAGTACTAATGAAAATGAAGAAAATTAAAAACTAAAAAGGAAACTTTCCTGGAAATTGAGACAAAATAGCAGAGGCTGCAAGTGCTCTCCCGTTGTGATTCTCCTCCGACATGTTGTCATCACTGGCTCACATACCAGAAGCAATAAAATTAGACTTAGCAATAAGCAAGAGCATATAGAGGCAACAGATCTGGAAAGTGAAACTAAAGTAGTACACAAGGTACATAGAATTGTCAAAGCAAGAAACGAAAACACAATAATGATTTGAGTACACAAGAGGAAAAATACAAATTGAATACCAACTAAGAGTACAAAAGTAGACAAACCAAGAATACCCAAATCCTAATTTTCGAAAAAGAACCCATTTGGTTTCTGACTGCTCAAGTAAGAGGAAAATAATGCGAAGTTGGGTAAGAACCCATTTGGTTTCACGAGAGGAGCTTTTCGGCAATTACTAGCAAATAAAATCCCTCTGAATAGCTTCCATGTCCTCTATAAATAATGATATGAATATATATATATATATATATATATATATATATATATATATATATATATATGGGCGTACGCTAACCTAGCGTACGCCCCATTGAGTTTTGCTATATAGATCATGAATTAATCGGAGTTTGGGGCATGATACTATACCCTAACCTCTAATGGGTGAACCTCTGTCCCTAATTTTCTAACCCAAACCATGACATTCGTTTAATCTTAAAATGAAAACCAATGAAAATTTCGATGAATCAGAATCGTTGATTTTCATTTTTAAGATTAAACGAATCTCGTGCTTTGGGTTAGTGAATTGGGGACTGGGATTCATCCATTAGGGGTTAGGGTATAGTATCATGTCCCAAACTCCGATTAATTCTTTGTCTAAATAGCAAAACTCAATGGGCCGTACGGTAGGCTAGCGTACGCCCGGACGTACGCTAGCCTTTGCCATATATATATATATATATATATATATATATATATATACATATATATATATAGTATTATGTCCGAAAGATCAGTCAATTCATGGTCTGAATAGCGTTTTCATACTCAGGGTATGTGGTACCCATGGATTTCACCATGGGTACCATAGAACTCCCCATATATATATATACGACTCGTATGCTCCAGACGCATAGCATACTCCAATCTTTTGCATCGTTGATTTAATCTAACGATTATCATTAATTATAATAAATTTATTTAATAATTAATAAGTACAATTACTAACGGCACCTTTTTAATAATATGCGTGCATTGTAATCACCCAACAATTTTTTCATTACATATTATGTGATCATACCTTATTTATTTTAATAATACTTTTAAGCACCCAAGATTTATATAATTGATTAAATAAAACTAAAACCTAATCGTTGCGTTGGTATGCCATCGTGATCATCATACAAACCCAAACCCCCCATTACACTATCATCATAGGAAGTTCCCTTCCTCAACAACTTCATCAACAACTTCATCAAAGCCCATGAACATAGGAAGCCACTTCCCCCAACGCCTACATCATCAAAACCCAAAATTCAGCTGTGATATTTTTGAGATAGTATAGCGTTGTTGCTCGCCCGTCCACCATCACAGACTCCGGCTCGTTGTTGGTTCGATAATATAATAATCGGTTTTGCTCTGCTGCTGCTGGTTATCTGCCGTGGATTCGTCGGAATTCGAGGGCTTTCCTGCGTTTCTTCTTCTTCTTCCCCTTCAACATCTCTATTGAATAATGAACGCAGACTTGTCCCTCCTCTCTCCCATTGAAATCCACCGGAACTAATTTCAATTCAGTTTTCAAATCAACTTCATTATCAGCCTAACCAATGCACCCCTTCTCTATCACTCCCCTCCCCCTATTCCGCCATTGCCAAACAAAATTAGAACGACAATGAATTCGATACTCTGGTTTTTGTAGAGATCCCTTAATTATAATTAGTTATCTTTAATTACTTTGGGGACCACTTTGTTATTTGTCCCTTGCTCCGTGTGTATTGTGGAGAGGAGCTAGGGTTAGTTTGTTCTATTAATGCTTCTCGGCAGCCTCTGTAGCCGATCAAGCAAAGTAAGACACACATATTAGTTTTTCTCCGAGAGCTTCTAGCTCTCCGTGGATTAGTCCCGTTCACATTGAACGGGGATACCACGTCATTCTGGTGTTCTGCGTCTTTTACTTTCCGCGCTCTATCGAATTTTACATGGTATCAGAGCTGGTCTGAGTAAAGGGATCAGCAATCATGTCTTCTGACGA